AAAGAGAACGGTGAAAAAATGTATACGAGGCCCACAGTCGTCTTTGCCGTCAGTCTGAACGGTCTAAAAATACGAAATCTTCAATTCATTAACCGAGAGGGGAGAGAAAAATAGAGGGAATTCTGAGGAGCTGCACTTTTACTGAGAGACAATTTTTCATGGGGTCGTTACCCTAATCTCGCGTCTGTAGAGCGTAAAAATAATGAAATTATCAAGGGGGTTGTAGCGTCGGAAATCACAGTCGAGTCGTCAAACTTTTTCTGCAATTTTCTGTAATTTTTGTGACTACTGGACTCTCACTGGGATTTCAGGAAATCTTATCGTTGAACAATTGATTGGAAAATTAATTAATTGAATTAAGAATTTCATTTCTCGAGTTGAGTTGGTCGAAAAATCAGGAAACAGGAAAATTTTGCAAAAAATTTGCATTTGATGTAATTTTGCTCATGAATTTTCGTAGAGTCTGGCAGCCTTCAAATTTCAAAATTTTCTCCTTGAATGAATGTTTTGACAATCCAAATTTTCGTGAGACTTATCTCAATTTTTTATCTGAAAAATCAGATATAATCCTGGCATAGTGAAGAGAATTCTAATTTCCAGGTACACACAACAATGAAAATCAGTGTAAGCAGTGAAAGTACATGTAATTATTTTCCTGAATTCCCAAGCTATTATAAATTCAATCAAATTCAACGTCCAATTTTCATAACGACATTCACCACTCAAGCCATTCTCAAAACATCATTGTTCGCAATAAAAATCGTAATCGTAATTTTCGTGGTTGTAATCCCAAAATAAATTACACTACCTACAATCGAATCCATTCATCGAAGTGAATTCGAATTTCCCTTTCTTCTTTCAATTAACAAACAATTTCCCATCGAAATAAACTTGAAACCAAATAAAAAATTCATCTGCAATAAAGTTTCTATGATTTTTAATTTTCTGCTAAATTCTTGAATCCACCAACGAATTGATTGAAGAACCACTTAATTCAATTCCTCAACCCTTCAATGACCCTCGGTCAGGTACACGATCGGCCTCTCACCAGCAAGTGAAATCGGAGATAAAAAGACAAGTTTGTATTTTCGTCTGACCCTCGGATTGTCCATTGTCCCACCTGACGACCCGAAGAGAATGGAATAATTTTTGGATGATATTTTGAAAGTCGAGAGGAACATTTAGAATTAACTTTTTTGGAGTAGCTAGCAGGTAGTAAACAAAAAAAGGACGGGGGTCCATAATCGTAGGGGAGACACCTTACATCCTGGCTCGACGAGAATGTTTGACCCTTGGTCAGGTAGTGATGCCAGGGATTGCCCTCTTTTCTTCTGCATACAAAAGTGGATAATGCGAAGAGATTATTACTCAAAAGGCGTTCGCACCTTCGAACAGAGCGAGGGGTCACCGAGACGGACAATGGATGGACAATGGAGGACACCGAGACGCCAAACAACATAAATATTCCATCTTCTTGTATTTGAGGGGGAACTTTTCCCTTTTTCTCTCCTCTCTCTACTTTTTTTTTCCTTTCACTTTTTTCTATTCAATGAGTGTTTTTATTCGTGCAGTTTGTTCACCCTCTTACAGGTTGTTTAGCGGTCAGACTCAAGTGCACGGACTGTGCGCAATGCAAAAAAAAAACAATTTCTCCCCATATATTTCTTTTTAAGATATTTATTCAGATCGGTCATTCCCACATAGAAATTCTATTTTATTCATGAGAATCATGGGTACCAACTCCAGTAATGATTAGTAATACTTGAAATTATTTATATCAATTGATGATTAGTAATAATTAACATAATTATTTTATGTTAATTATTAATATAATTTTTAATATAATTGTAATAAATGAAAGATAATTGAAAATTCCGGGGAATGACTCTCAGAGAGAGAAATGCGATTAATATTTCTTCCAAGTTGATGGATAATTGGGAAAATAATGATTTTTCTCTGTGTAATTGACCTGGAAATCACTTCCCTGGGGGAGTACCTGCCAAAGGTATATTTTCCCCTGTCCATATCAATCCTCCTCTGAGATATTTTCTTTTCAACTGAACCTGGTTGACCACTCGGCTACCGAATCAATTACCTTCCACCTGTTATACTCTTAATTCGAGGAAAAATCGATTGGTTCAATCCCACTGCAGTTACATTCGATGACGCCGTATTTCAGGGTAAATTGCCGTACCACAAGATTGGATTGACGATATAGAGCCCTGATTTGAGGGGAGAAGTCAAGCGGTTTCTCAAAGAAAATCATTTAAGTGGTCTGGAGACACGAAAAATACCGGATTGGTTGAGAAAAGGAAAAGAAACCAATTCTTAATTAATATTGAGAGTAATTTTTTGACTATTTCGAAAAAACTTCGTGCAATTCACTATTCAATCTGCATGTAAGGATTTCCTTATCATTCAACTTTTCATACCCATAAAACCTTATCAATACTCAGAAAAATCTATATTCCTATTCTATACAAAAGATCGCAATTAAAATAATACTGGGGCTTATCGTAATACGTTTGTGGACAATGCGAATATGTAAGTAGCTTATATCATCGCAATGTCCGACGACACGCAGCGCCATCTGACATTTTCGCGAGGAATTAACCCCCCTCAACCCCCTCGGCCCACCCGCGGCTCCTTATGAATATTTGCACGGAGAAAAATTTGCTGAGAACATTTATCCTAGAGTTTAGTAATCGTCGGCCTATTTACCATTTTCACCAGAACATTTTTGGGAAGCACTCAATTTTAGGGATTGATCAATAATTAACGGGAGAAAATCTTGAGATGGGAAATTTCGATGAAAATTCTTTCGATGAAATGGAGAAGAAAATTAAAGAGCAGTTTCTAATTCGTGGGAATTATTAATTGAGAATGAATACTCAGGATGCGATCTGATTGAATTTTCGAGAAGTGAAAATTAAAACAAACTTTTCTGCTCCAATTTGGGGATAAAAATTCCCGAATTATCTATTAAAATTAATAAATTAATTAATTCGTGATAAATTATACTATTCCACAGAAAAATGTATTTACGTCAATTAAATTCGGTGGACGGGATAAATTGGAAATGTCCATGCAATATTTTCACGCGGCAAATAAAAATATTTTCCAGAAAAATCGAAATTAAAACCGAGAATCATGAAGCCATTCTCGACGCATGGCATTTTTAATCCCTCGGGGAAGGTGAGAAGTACCTGGGCACGTGCTGGACCCTCCGAGGAAGAGGATGAGGATAAAAAATAATAATAAAAAAAAAAACGGTAAAGGGTTATATCCGCGCCACGCGCCCAACGCCCCAAGGTTAATCTGAGAAATCAAGTCAAAGTAGTTTTTTTTTTTGCTTCCCCTCCTGGCTCTCTGTGGAGAAGGTACCGAGATGGTAAGAGGGAGATGAGGATTGTGGAATAAGGACGGTAAATGAGTTAAGAAGGGCTTGCCGACGGTAGAGGCTTCAAAGACAATATTTAACGGATACGCGAGCATATGTCCCGCACGTGCCGTCATGCTTCACGTGTAAAACTCACTATTTGTTTGCTAAATAATGTACTTCGGGCCCATCAAAGTTTTTTTTTTCACTCGATGATGACTACTATAATTTTTAACTGATCAGATTAATTGTCGCTGCGAAGTGCCCCGGGTCTAATCGCGGAAAATCTCTCCATCTGCTCGCACCGAGAACAAATTTCTGGTAAAAATTACTCCCCGGAAATTTTTAAGCTGGCAAAATAGTAAATAAATATACTGGAATTTTTCCTTGGGGATTTTAATGTCAGGGAGAAATATTGAAGCGAACGTCGACGTGAATTCGTTTTTGGAATAGTGAGAGGAAAGACAAATCATCAGCGATTTATTGGGAATATCTCCTGTACCAAGGGAGATATCGAAATTTTGGTAATCACCTCTCCTCCGGCTCGCAATGAGCTCTACAAAAAAGGTGTTTTCAAGAATTTAATTATCTCCCTTTGTTTCGGAGATATTTCCAAAAAAAGCACCTGGTTTTTGCCACTACTGCACTATTCAGCAACGAATTAATCTCCATAAATTGAAATAAATTCCGCAATAAATTCCTCAAAATTTCCTCAAATTTTTTTCGAATTCCTGATACCAATAACTGACTGGTTGGGAAATTTTTTTCAACACCCCCAAGACATCGAGGAAATTAATACCCAGGAGTCACGCGTGTCTTGAATTTTTTTTCTCCTGTCGTGTGATAAAGATAATTTTTTTCCTCGTCTTGTATCCAGGAGGCACATCTTTTCTCACCGACGTCATCGCGCAAACTAAAGAATATTGCAGTTTGTAATTAAGAAAAGCGTAGAAGCCGCGGTGGCGGAAGAAAAGAGAGAATGCAGACGAAAGATTTTGCGCGAGAGGGGAATGAAGGAGAGAAATGAAGAGAGGGAATGCGTCTCCGGAGGGTTGAAAAAGTGAAGTTGTGAAAAAGGCGCGCATGACGCCCCCTTTTACGCCGACGTTAACATCACCGAACAGGTTATGGTGGGGGTTGGTGTACACCGGTGGTTACTAATTAAAAATTCTTGTGCTCGAGATACTTAAAACACTAGTCGTCTTCACCCCCTCGCGGGAGTTTCTTTTCTCAAGACAACTCCCCCGCATCCCTCAACAATTTTCCGCAAATAATTGCCCATTTTTTTTCCCGTTACATTCACCTAGTGGTGAGTCATACTATAAAATAATTATATTATTCGCCGGTCAATTTCCTCCCTCCCCCAAACTATTTCTCCGCCCCTCCACCCGTGTGATTAAACAATTACTTGTGAATTGATATCTCTGGTTGCTTTATCACAATGTAATTCCTCAGCAAAGAGTTCGTCAGAAATTTGGCGCTGGCTAGACTCTTTATGACGGTTATTTAGGAACATTTGTCCTGATAAAATGTACACGATTTTATCAGTGATTGCATCAAAGTTGGGAATGATGTACGTAATGTAATGATAATAAGTGACATATGTGGCATTTAAACTCACCTTGCGCGATGCGAACTGCTGGCATTTTGATCCTCATGATGACGATCTTTGGACTGCTTTTGGGGCTGCACGTGATAACTCAATTATTGTCCTTCAACAGCTTCAATTAATTACCGAGTATTTCTAATGACAGAAATGGTCAATGTGCCGTGAACAAAAGGATCACGTTCACTCGGTCCTCACTTGTTTTCACCACATCCTCATCGACTTTATAGTTCATCAACATTTGTCGATAAACGGTGAAAAAAAAAGAAAAATAAAAATAAGGGAAAATACTGACTATTTAATTCACCAACAATGCGCGCTTTTCATCCGTCGCATGTGCTATTGAATGGATTTATCTATTGACGATTAAAAATCATTCAAATGACATGTCATTCTCGCGCGTCACATGCTCACACATTTTCCCTTGCTCTCCACAAAAAAAATCCACACCAGCATTTTGGCTCACTTATTTCTCCAACAGTTCCAATCGCTCCCGAGTCCTCAAAAACTCACAACCAAACCAACGACAATAATAAACAAAAAAAAAAAACCATAAATCCACTATTCACTGACAAGTCCTCCAAACACGTCGCTCCATCATCATCTCGATGATTAACTCAATGAAAAATAATAAAAACAAACAATAATCCTCAAGTGCAAGCGAAACTTCACTGTCAATTCATTGACATTACTCAAATGTTCACAAAACCACTCAACTCTTCCGTTGTTCCTCCTCACGTCACTGGTGAATTAAAAATAAACAATCTCGTATAATTGTCTCATTCACCGTTGATAATTGTTTATTTACTGATGAAACTGATGGTGGAGTGAAAGAAAAAAACGGGAGAAAACGAGGGTGACGAGAGAAATGTGAGAATTGAGCGAAATGTAACGAAATGAGCGAAACGAGCAAATTGAGCGTAATGAGCGATTATTATTTTTTAAACGTAAATGTTGGATGTACGTTTTATAGTGTCACTGGTTGTTGTGATGCTGGATACGTCGGATGCTGGTGCTCCGGCGTGGACCAGCGGGAGTTATGGTCCGGCATGGGTCGTATCTCTGAGTGGACTGTGCCGGACGTGCGCCAGTAGTGGCGTTTGGGACCTGGTGTGTCGGGCACTGCGCTCCCAACTTCGGACGGCCTCGGCACGAATCGTCGTTACTCCCTAGACCGGACAACCCCACGCGCTCTTTGGGGTAGTTTTCATCCTCCCCTACCCCACCATCCCTCTCAGTTTATATCAGAAAATACATGGTGGGGATAACACGAGCGCCTTGGGGTTGCATTTTCGGTGTGGAAATGAGAGAGACGATGTCAAGGGGGAGAGAGAAATGGGGAGAATTGTGAAACAACGATGAGCACCAGGAGATGGTCGATGGAGGAGGGAGCAACGAGGATGGAGTTGTGTACGTGTGGAGGTGAAATGCCGAGTGGAGGGAGACGTGTTGCGAGTATGTGAGCATTTTCCCTGTCAATGGTGGGTGGAGGGGGTGGG